CCCCCAAACCCCCCGAGGTGCCCCCCCAGGGACCCCAGCCCCGCTCACCGCTTGCCGTGGGGCGAGAGCTTCTGGGGCACGTTGCGCTTCTTGATGAGGGTCTCGACGGCGTTGCCGTGCAGGAGCCCCCGCGGCACCCGCGGCTTGAAGAGCCCGGGGTAGCGCTTCTCCAGCGCCTGCTCCCGCCTGCCACGGGCCACGCGTGGGCACCCGCGCCCTGCCCGCGGCCAGCGGGGCCGGGACAGCCACGGGGGGACAAAGGGCTGGCCACGGGCAGGGGGTGACCACGGGAGGGGCGCAGAGGGGCTGGGGGGGCTGTTTCGGGTGTTCTTTGGGAGGGGGGCTGTTTGGGGGTGTTATTTTGGGGGGTGTAGCTGTTATTTTTTTGGGGTGTAGCTGTTTGGGGGATGTTGTTTTGGGGGGGTGCAGCTGTTTGGGGGTGTTATTTTGGGGTGCAGCTGTCCGGGGGCGCTGTCTGGGTGCTGCCCACCCACCTGAGCAGCTCCTTCTCCTTGAGCTCCAGCTGCAGCATGAGGGCGCTCAGCTCCATGTAGAGGTTGTTGGCGCGCTCCAGTTTCCGCTCGTAGTGCTCCCGGATGTCCAGCGCGTGCCTGGGGACACGCGTGCCGTCACAACCGGCCCGGCGACGGGGACAGGGACAGGGACAGCGACCCACAGCCCCCCTGGCTGCCCCCGGGCCCTTCCCAGTGCTCCCAGTGCCCCCAGCACGGCCCCACCGCAGCTCCTCGCGCCGCCGGTTGATCAGCTCCTCCTCCAGCCGGTGCAGACACGTCCCCTCCGACTTGATCTTCTCGAAGTGCAGCTTCACCTCCTCCCGCCACTCGGCCTGCGGCACAGGGACAGTGCCACCGCTGCCACCGGGCTCCGGCCACGCGGGGCTCCGGCCACCCTGGGCTCCAGTCATCCCCAGGCTCCGGTCATCCCGGGCTCTGGTCACCCCCGGGCTCTGGTCATCCCGGGCTCTGGTCATCCCGGGCTCCGGTCATCCCGGGCTCTGGTCATCCCGGGCTCTGGTCACCCCGGGCTCTGGCCACTGTGGGCTCCGGCCACCCCACACATCCAGGGCTCAGGCCATCCCCAGGCTCCGGCCACCCCGGGCTCTGGTCACTCCAGGCTCCGGTCACCCTGCACGTCCCGGGCTCCGGCGGTGCCGGGCACTGCCCGGCTGGGCCCTGCGGTGTCGGAGGAAGGGGGTCCTGGGCTGCAGGGGGGTACCTGGGATTTGAAGTAGGTCTCCTGGGGGGTGGAGAGGACGTCGGCCGAGGCGATGTCGAGGTGCAGCAGGATCTGGCGGAAGGACGGCCGGTTCCGGGGTTTGCTGTTCCTGGGGGAGGACACGGCACTGAGGGGGGCTGGGGGGTCCTGGGGGGGCTGGGAGGTCTCAGGGGGTTCTGGGGGAGGCAGGAGCGCTGGGGGTGCCGGGGGGGTCTTGAAGGTTTTGGGGACCAGGGGCAGAGAAGGGTACACAGGACACACGGGGGGCACCTCTACAACCAGGGGTCCCCCCTGCCCTACCCTGGCCACGGGGCAGGTTCCTCGGGCTGGCCCCACAGCCCCCTCTGTGGCGGGGTCCCCTGTGCCACGGGTGCCCACAGAGCGTCCCCAGGGCGCCCCTCGGGTGTCCCCTGGGCACTCACCAGCACTGGCGCAGCAGCACCTTGAAGCCGTCGGGGCAGCTGGAGGGCACGGGCAGGTGCAGGCTGTTGCTGCCCACGCCCCAGATTATGGCCGACGAGTCCACGTCCTTGTAGGGGATCTCGCCCGTCAGCAGCTCCCACAGCACCACCCCGAAGGACCTGCGGGCACCCGCGGCCCTGTCACCCGCGGTGGCCTCCTGCTGTCCCCTCAGCACCGCCTGCTGTGGTGTCCCCAGCGTCCCCCGCTCCGGTGGTCCCTGATGTCCCCTGGCCCTGCCCTGTCAGTCCCAGTGTCCCGATGCCCTTGGTGTCCCACGTCTCCTGTCCCCTGCCTGTCCCTGCTGTGTCCCCAGTGCCAGCACAGCCGGCGGTGTCCCCGGTGTCCCCGCAGCCTCACCAGATGTCCACCTTCTCGGAGACGGGCTCGTTGCGGATGACCTCGGGGGCCATCCAGGCCACGGTGCCGGCGAAGGACATCTTGGTGCTCTTGTCGATGAGCTCCTTGGAGGTGCCGAAGTCCGAGATCTTCACCACGTCGTCATAGGTGATGAGCATGCTGGGGACACGCGCTCAGCGCCACGCCAATGACACGCCAACGGCACGGGCACGGCACCGCCGCGGGCATGCAACTGCTGCGGGCACCACGGGGTCACGGCACGGCACCGGCGGGGACGGCCGGCACGGGCAGGGGACAGCGGTGACACGGGCAGGGGACAGCCAGCACGGAGAGGACAGGGGACGGCGGTGACATGGACACAGAATGGGACAACGGGGACATGGCACCGGCGTGGGACACCAGTATGATGGGACAACACCAACATGAGCGTTGTCCTGCCATGGGACGCCAGCAGGGACATGGCAGCAGCATGGACGTGATTCCAAAATGGACGTGGCACTGCCATGGGCACAACGCTGCCATGGCATGGCCCCGCTGTGGGACACCACCAAGGACGTGGCCCCACCACGGACACCCAATGCCCCACCATGCACGCAATGTCCCCACCACGGACACGCAATGCCATGAGCGCGGTCCTGCCGAGGGGACACCACCATCAGCACGGCACTGCCACGGGCATGAAGCCACCAGGAGTGGCACTGCCAGGGTCACACAGCTCATGGGCACACACCACCAGGAGGGCACCAGGAGGGACAGGGCACCACCCAGGACACGGCACCGGCCCCCCGGCACCGCCGCGCCGTGCCCCACCCCATGCACGGCCCGTGCCCGGGGGCACCCGGGCTGCTCCGAGCCCCGTCCCCGGCTCACTTGGGCGACTTGAGGTCGCGGTGGATGATCTTGTGCAGGTGCAGGTAGTTCATGCCGCCGGCGATGCCCATGGACCAGTCGACCAGCAGGGAGGGGGTGACCTTGCGGCCGGCGCGCAGCACCTCGTAGAGCTGCCCCTGGGCGCAGAACTCCATGATGATGCAGTAGCAGGGGGCCTGGGTGCACACGCCCCTGCGGGCACAGCGGCACCTCAGCGCCCGCCGGGGCCGCCAGGGCTGCCAGGACACCGGCACGGTGCCCGGCCCTCGCTGTCCTGCCCGCCGTGGTCCGTGCCGTGCCGGGGGTGCCCAGGCCCGCAGCGTGTCCGTGGCCTCTGTGGCTGTGTCCGTGCTGGGCACTGTGTCCATGCCATGTCCATACCGTGTCCATGCCATGTCCATTCTGTGTCCATTCCATGTCCATGCCATGCCCATGCTGTGTCCATTCTGTGTCCATGCCGTGTCCATGCTGTGTCCATTCCATGCCCATGCCATGCCCATGTTCCAGCATGCTCCATGCCCCACGCCATGTGCATGCCCCATTCCTGCAGGCTCCCCTGTGCCCATGCTGTCCCCTTTCCATGCTGTCCCCGTGCCCCGGTGCTGTCCCCTTGCCCCGGTGCTGTCCCCTTGCCCATGCCGTCCCCGTGCCCCGGTGCCAGCAGCCCCGCTCACTTGAAGGTGATGATGTTGGGGTGCTTGAGCTTGCGCAGGTGTTTGATGTCGGTCTCCTTGAGGTCCCGCACCTTCTTCACGGCCACCTCCTCGCCGTGGAAGCGGCCCAGGAACACGGCACCCTGCGCCCCGCTGCCCACCCACTGCAGGTCCAGGATCTCCTCGAACGGCACCTCCCAGGGGTCTGCGGGCACCGCGGGATGGCAGCACAGCCCCCGCCGTGGCCACGGCACCACGGCCCCCACCATGGCACCACGGCCCCCAGCATGGCACCACGGCCCCCCAGGATGGCACCACAGCCCCCAGGACCCCAGCATGGCACCACAGCCCCCCAGGATGGCACCAGCTCGGGGGGCCGCGCCCCCCCCCGGCGGGGCCAGGCCTCGGGGGGCGCGCTGGGCGCGGGCAGGACATCGCGCAGGACGCACTGCGTGGGGGTCAGCTCCTGCTCGGGGGTCCCGTCCGACGGCAGCGCCAGCGACGGCGACGGAGTGCGGGTCTCGTGCAGGCAGGCCATGGCGGGCTGGGGGCGGCGACCCCCGCGATGGGCAGCGGTCAGCGGGGACCCCCGGGACGGGAACGGGGAGCCCCGGGATTGGGGGAACGGGAACCCCCGGGATGGGGGGGCGGCCAGCGGGGCCGGGCACCCGGAACACGGGGTTCAGCCCCACACCCGTGTGCGACCCCCACGGGACCCCCGACACGCGTGTGACCCCTTCACGCGCGTGCGTGCCCCCCCCGCACACCCCCCCAAAGTGCCCCCGGGTGCGCGCCCCGGGTCAGCCCCGGCCACGCGCGAGCGGCGCGGGGTAAACTGAGGCACGAGGGGTCGCCGGGGCGGGGGACGGTTGCCATGGCAACAGCGCGGCCGGCGGTGATGTCATCAGTGGAACTGGGGGGGCCGGGGGCGGGGGAGGGGCTGCGCGTCACCCCGGGGGACCCGCGGGGGAGGGGGCCGCGACCCGCCCCGCCAGGTGTCGCGTGTGTCCCCCCGCGGTGACATCACGTCACTCGGTGACGTCATCCCGGTAAGGGATGGAGCCTCCCCCCCTCCCCACCCCGGGGAAACTGAGGCAGGAGCGGGGGCGCGACCCGGGGGGGGTCGGGGAACGGCCCCGCCCCGGCCCCGCCCCGCGCACCGGAGAGACCGGCACGGGCACCGGCACCCCCCGCCGGCGCCCCGGGACCCCCGGGAACCCCCGGTACCGCACCGGGATGCCGGCTCCGCAGCGGAACCGCCGCACCGGAGACACCGGCACCGGGACCCCGATACGGCACCGGCGGGGACCGGCCCCGCACCGGGAGCGCTGCGGCTCCGCACCGGGACCCGACACTGCCCGGGGGCAGCCCCGGTACCGGAGGGGCCGGCCCCGCATCGGGAGCGCTGCCCCGTGCCCCCGCCGGTACCGGCACCGGCACCGCCCGGCCCGGCGGCACCGGGGAACCGGGGAACCGGGGCCGGCCCAGAGCTCCCGGTGCGGGGTCCCAGCGCTCCCAGTTTTATTCCAGCATTCCCAGTGCCCGTGTCCCTCCGTCCCCAGCGCTCCCAGTCTGACCAGTGCCACCTGTGCCGCCCTGTCCCCGCTGTCCCCACTGCCCTACATGTCCCCAGTGTCCCCCCCGTCCCCACTGTCCCCATTATCCCCACTGTCCCCGAGGGGGACAGGGACGGGGACGGGGACAGCGCTGTCCCCGCGCCCGAGCCGGTGGCATCCCCTGCCCGTGGCCCCGGCCGTGCCACTCGTGTGCTCATCTGGCACTGCCACCCTGTCCCCGTGTCCCCACCCGTGTGGCACTGCCACCCTGTCCCCACCCGTGTGGCACTGCCACCCTGTCCCCGTGTCCCCAGCGGGCAGTGCCACCGCTGTCCCCGCGCTGTGCCGGGGCTCCATCCCTGTCCCCGTGTGACCACGTCGCGCACCGGTGCCACCCCGTGTCCCCACGCTCGGTGGCAGTGCCACCCCGTCCCTGTGCCGCCCCTTCCTGTGTGTCCCCAGCAGTGCCACCCCCGTCCTCGTGTCCTAATGCCCTGTGGCGCTGCCACCCGTGTCCCTGTGTCCCCACACTCCTGTGCCCCTGTGGGTGCCAGCTGTGCCCCTGTCCCCATGCCCTGGTGGCTCCGGCCGTGTCCCTGTCCCTGTCCCCATGTCCCTGCCCTGTCCCTGTCCCGGTGGCTGCAGCGTGTCCGTGTCCCTGTCCCCATGTCCCTGTCCCCCTGTCCCTGTCCCCCTGTCCCGTGTCCCCTGGTGGTGGCTGCAGCGTGTCCCTGTCCCCCTGGCCCTGTCCCCCTGTCCCTGTCCCTGTCCCGTGGCTGCAGCGTGTCCCTGTCCCCATGTCCCTGTCCCTGCCCTGTCCCTGTCCCCGTGTCCCCTGGCGGTGGCTGCAGCGTGTCCCTGTCCCCCTGTCCCTGTCCCCCTGTCCCTGCCCTGTCCCTGTCCCTGTCCGTGTCCCCTGGCGGTGGCCGCAGCGTGTCCCTGTCGCAGCCTGGAGCAGATGGTGGCCGCCAGCCCCGGGAAGACGCCCATCAGCCTGCTGCAGGAGTATGGCACGCGCCTAGGCCGCACCCCGGGCTACGACCTGCTCAAGGCCGAGGGCCAGGCCCACCAGCCCAACTTCACCTTCCGCGTCACCCTCGGGGACATCAGCTGCACCGGTGGGACCCCGGGGACCCCAGAGCCACCCTGGGCCACCCTGTCCCTGCTGTCCCCTCGGGGCCATCACCGACCCCTGACCCCTCTGGGAGCCCCCACAACTGCCCTGGCACGTCCTGCCCCTCCTGTCCCCTCCCTGTCCCTGCTGTCCCCTCGGGGACATCACTGACCCCCGGGACCCCAGGGAGTCTCCAGAGCCACCCTGCCCCTCCTGTCCCCTCCCTGCCCCTCCTGCCCCCTCAGGGACGTCCCCTGCACCGTGGGACCCCAGGCCCTGTCCCCAAACCCCTCTTTGCTCCCAGGGGCTTTGGGATGGGGACACCGAGGGGGAAGCTGGGGGGTCCCAGCCCTGGGTGCTGCTGGGGGTCCCGCTGTCCCCGCTGTCCCCGGTGTCCCCGGTGTCCCCTGGCTGTCCCCGGTGTCCCTGAGCCCCGCTGCCCCCGGTGTCCCCGGTGTCCCCTGGCTGTCCCCGGTGTCCCTGAGCCCCGCTGCCCCCGGTGTCCCCTGGCTGTCCCCGGTGTCCCTGAGCCCCGCTGTCCCCCAGGGCAGGGGCCCAGCAAGAAGGCGGCGAAGCACAAGGCGGCCGAGGTGGCCCTGAGGCTGCTCAGAGGGGGGGGGGCCATGCTGGAGCCCCTGGAGCACAGGTGGGGCTGGGGGGTACCCGGGGGGGGGCACCCCAGGTTTGGGGGGCTCTGGGGGGAGGGGGCAGCCAGAGGGGTTTGGGATCCTGTGGGATTCGAGGGCTCTGCTGGGTCTGGGGGCTCCCAGGGGAGTCTGGGGGAGTTTGGGGGTTCCTGGGGGTTTGGGAGGT